AATTGAGAACCTCACACGTAAGAGGCACACAGTCTACTATTGAGCTATATTCCCCTTACATGGTTAGGTTTAGAACAAATTTGACTTGAAAGATGAAGAACTTAGTGTTGTGTGCTCACTTTTCAGTATAAAAGAAGGGTATCTTTTACTAAAATTCTAGCTGTTGAAAAACACATTTCTTTCTTTTTTTCTTTCTCTCCCTGAATTTTATTTTTTCTTTGGGACGATATGCCATTTTATTCCCATAAAATAGAGTTTATATTTAATAATAACTTAATAAAATTGCTAATATTTATCAACTAAGATAAGGTTTCATAAACTAAAGCTATTTGACCAATCAGGATGTCTTACTTGTTAAACTAAACTGACCAGTAAGAATGTTTCGCATGAACAAAAGCAAATTTTGAACTGTTTTTGGATTATGAATCTGTCATTTAAATTAGAAAAACATCTTGTTTGTTTTTTTTTGTTCTTTTGAGAGGTAGTGACTGATGCCATATTCCCAACTAGAAATTCAGCGGTTATGGTGTCATAGTGCAATATAGGTGGCATATGACTTTGAAGGAGATTGGGAGACAACAGTCCAGGTGGTAGAAGAGAAATGAGAGGAACGGAGCTGGATGCTAGGGAGGACAGTAGATTTTGGGAAATAAAAGAGAAAATAAAAGGAGGTTTTTGTGGAGTTCATGCCCAATTCAATTAGCTAATCAGTGGCTGAATAAATATTAGTACTCCTACCTAAAAAAAAGAAAGGGAGGTTTTGGAAGATTAATAAGAAGGGCAAATAAGTTTTGGGGGATTGAAGGGATATTTAGTTCTTACCCTTGTCACAATAAAAAATCATGCAATACTTTAAATTTTGGGGGCATATTTGTTTAAAACAGGACCAGAAAGAATGAGAGATAAAATTTTTGTCTTAAGACATGTCTTGAAATGTCAATGAGAATGGTTTTAGACCATCTATCCTACATTTCTTCTTCTCTGACTAGAACTTTCGTCAACACTTCTGTGATACTGGGAGATCCATATGAAATGCAGTTGTTGAAGGAAAGTGAGCAGGAACTTTATCTTAAATGTGATTTTAATTTTAGTATAGTGACTTGTAGTCACGAGGGGAAGAGAGTATGGGGGGCGGTGTTCTATGGGTGTTATTCCAGTATGGGGTGCAGCATTCTATGGGTGCTAATTGCTATTATCAAAATAAGCTATTAAAGGCAGATATTCACAGTATCCAGTGCTTTATTACTTTTTAAAACTTGGGGATAACAGAGAGTTTAGGGGTCTGTGTGGAAGAGAGAAAGCTGATTGTTGACCTTGGTCATGCCAAAGTCAAATAAGAAATTAGCACTTGTGACCATGAGCTCATTCTTCCTTTTGCTTGGTGCCAGGCGGCATTTTCTTTTTTCCCACCAGAATTTAGACTGTTGCCAGATTTTAGTGCAAAAGAATAAAGGTGTTATATTTCTACACATGTTTTTGAGTAAAGTTAAGCTTTCTCCTGTATAAATATCAAACATAGAGTTATTTTAGATATCAAAATATGATACCATGCTAAGTTTGTATTTACTGCACCAATCTGCAAAGCTACCTTTATAAAGTGGCCATACTGTCTTATATTTACAACATCAGTGTATGAGAATTTCAATTCTACACTTGGTTCTGTTATTTTGTTTTACTTTACACTCTCAATAGGCACAGAGAGGTAAATCAGATTTTAATTAGCATTTCTTTAATTCATGCTATCTTGAGCACATTCTTACGTGCTAATTTGTCATCTATGCATCTTCTTCAATTTTATTTAAGATATGCAAACTGGGGGATTCAAAACCCACCTTCAACCTGTGTATTTTTCTTATTTTGAGTTTTCAAGGTTCTTCATATAGTCTAGATACAATTTTTGACCAGATCTTTATCAAAACTCTGCTAATTCTCCAGACAGCAGCTCTAAATCATGGGAGGTGACACCTGCTTCTGGCTTTTGATTGAAATCTTCCTGTTAATTAGTGGCAGGAAGCATTCTGATGCACCGTTGGCCATCTGTATGTTTTTTTGAGACTGTGGGGAGCTAATCCCTGACCTGACACAGAGGAGGCATATGCCTCATTGCTGATCCTCACACCTGACCTTTCTATCTTCGGCTGTTTCTTTCCCCCTTCCTGAACTTCTTTGCCTATAGCTGTAGGATTTCCTATAGCTGGGGATTCTATTTCTTTTATTTCAGAACTTCTTTGACTCGTGATAATAGCGTATGGGTATGGCCCTGTGTCAAAGGGAATGGCAATAGGGAAATTGTGCTGCAGCTGACGTAAGTAGATTTTTGTGATAAACTTGTTTTTCTCATAAAGCTTTCAGAAAAATGAGATGATGATATTTTACTTTATAGGTACACATAACCAAGAAAAATATAGAACTCAAAGTTGTGAAACTCTTCACAGACATGCTTTCTGCCTCTTCAGTATTTTGGTCATAGTTATACTTGTGGTTATACTTTCTGTTATTTTGACAGGTAAGTTACTTGTTTGGAAAACTCTGTAACATCCTTCATACATTAATATGGTCATAAATATTTCCTTGAGTCCTATTTTATTCCAGGCACTGTGCAAAGTGTCTGGAGTTTATTGGTGAATTAAACATAAAAATTCCTTCTTCCAATTTATATTCCAGAAGGAAGATGTAACTGTCATAATAAATTAAGATGGGGGTAGGGAAAGAAGCTGCAAAGCACGTGGAAATGACACATAATCTTCAGTGAGAACCTCTCTCTTTCTGCAAACTTTTGAAAGAGGTGAAGGTAGCATGCTGATACCTGGGAAAAACTCTCCAGGCACAGAAAACAATAGAGCAAAATCCAAAGAAGGAATATCCCTAGTGCTTTGAAGAAGAGCAAGGAGATTGCAGGTGCTAGAACAAGGTGACACAAAGGAAGAATCATGGGATGAGTCCAGAAGGCAATAGCCTTGGGAGCCACTTAAAGACTTTGGGTTATACTTTGAGTAGAGAAGGGAAGATCAGGAAAAGGAGAGTTGTAAAGAGGAATGTCATGGCTCAGACATTTGCACTGGAGAATGATCATTTTTACTATGCTACTAAGAAGTGATTGTTAGAAGAGAAGGGGAGAATCAAGGAGACCTACTTAGGTGATCTCGTAGAAATCTGGGTGAGAGATTTTGATAGCTTAGATCTGCTGAGTGCAGTGTGGGTGTGTTAGGGTGGTCAGGTTCTGGATACTTTGAATGTTGGATCCACAATATTTTATAACAGATTGCATATGAACATTTGCAAAAAGAGACTCCTATGTAACTCTAAGGATTTACTGCTGAGCCATGGCAAGAAATTAGTTATCATTCTTGATAAGAATCTTATCAAGGGTTTTATCTTTGGATCTGTTTCTTGCACAGACAATGTGCAAATATTCAGAACTATATGTTTTAACAAATATTTCTTTGTATGTAGAATTGGTCCGAAATAAATGAATGATCAGAATTAATAAATAATTATTTCATCTATTCTGATTTTAATATTGTCTGTCTATCAAGGCCTTTTTCCAACAATGTGATGGAGACTTCTTTTTTTGGCTGGGGTGAAGAGCAAGGGAAGGGAGATGCATGCTGGGATTCATGTCAGGGTCTCATATAGACAAGGCATGTACTGAGCCCATCTTGAAGCATTTCTGAAATCTAATAACAGCTAACAATTTTTACTGAAGATTAAATTGTTGCAAGTTATATAGTGTCAAGAACATTGTAAATGTAATTTTTAATTATCTACTAGAATCTAAATTCTCTTGATTCCTACCACTGCTCATTTTAGATAACACAAGCACAAAATGTCCTTCATTTTATATTTCTACTTGAGTTTTGTGTAATGTGTAAAATCGCCAATCCTTGGGCAGTAGTTTGCCAAAGTTTACTATTCAGCATAATTTTAAAGTATCAAGTGGTTCTCCCTAATAATTTAGGGGGGAATGTTTTGTTTTGGGAGGTGTTCACACCTGGTTGTGGCTAAGGCTTACTCCTGGCTCTTTGCACATGGGTACCTATTGGTTGGGTTTGTGGGCCCTATGAAGTTTCAGAGATGGAGCCCTGATCTGTGTAAGTAAAGTCAGCACCCAACCCACTATACTATTGCTCGAGGGTCCCTTTATTGTCTTTTCTTAAAGGAAACAGTGATAATGACCTCAACACATGTACTCTTTGCTCTCTAATCTGAATTCCCTAGAGATAAGGATTGAGAAAAATGTAACAGATTGTTTTTCTTTAAATGTGAGGAAATTAAAATCATCATTAGTGTTCAGTATTTTGATACTATTTTTTTCTTTCCCTGGTACTTAAAGAACAATGGAATCTTAGTAACAAAAGGAGATTTTAAAAAATTAGACTAATAATAATATCTGATTCTTCCTACACTTTATTCCAAAATATTGGTTATTTCAGAATATTTAAGACGAGCCAAAAATGTTTTTTTAAAAAAAGCAAACATAAAACAAAATTATAAAAATGTAGAAAGTCCTATATTGTATTTTTGTTACCAGTATAATATTTGGGTTGCTATATTTTGTCCACAGAAAGATTATAAATCTACTGACTATGGACCATAGTAAAATCCAGGATATAAAACGAGTCAAGAGGAAGAGGAGCTTATATTAAGGAAAATATAGGAAAGGAGAATCTATATGATATACTAGGAATATCTTGTACTTGCTTTTTGCAGAAATTAGAATCGTCTATAAAAAGTACCATGGACTTGATGCTTTATAAATTTATTTTCTCTAAGCCATTAATTCCCATGTACTTCTTGTAAAGTGAGATGCACAGGGACTTGCTACTGGGGGATTGTTGACTATTGTACTTAGGATAAGACTTTCTGATGAGTTAGGACATTAACAATTACCAGTCTATAGCTTTAGCAATGACCTTAGGATAGTAATAGGGAAAATATATTAAAAGAATAAGGAAATATAATTACTGTATTTTGTTGTGATTATCCAAATTTTAGTAAGAATGGAAAAAACAATCTCAGAAGTGCATGTGCATTCCGCCTGCCCATCAAAGTGGATTCTATTTGGAAACAAGTGCTTTTATTTTTCTAAAGAAACAGCAAACTGGACATCCAGCCAAACTTTCTGTTTCTCATTGGAAGCTAATCTTGTTCAAATTGACACCGAAGATGAACTGGTAAGAATTGTTCTAAAGCCCCAGGGAGACAGTACAAGTGTGAGAGCACGTGCCTGTCACATGTAGTGTCCTGAGTTCAGCCGCCAGCATCACATACCCAGCATCTCAGGGTCTGCTTACCCTAGCACTGCCCATGCACACTGGGAGTGTGCTTTTCAGGGAGTGGCCGCGTCCAATTTTCCCAAGGCCCAGGGTCTGGTCCATATTTTTAAAAGAAGAACTATTTAGGGAGCATATTTTCTGTTGAATAAGGAACTCCCCCACAGAGGGTTGGGCACTGTACCAGGCTAATGCTGAAAGATAAGTATGTCCTCGAATCAGTCTGGAAGCACAGACAAGCTTCTGATGTATGTTGAATTCTATATCTAGAACCCATTGAGGCATGTCAGATTCGTTCTCCCATGTAATCCTCATACTCAGCCTAGAAACTTAGATGAACTGTTATCTGTGTGCAGAGAATTACTGTGTTCACATAATTTTTCATTCAAATTGTAGGAGTGACAGTGTTCACAATATACTAAAACAGTCGGCACAAAGTGAGACTTTGCCTGTCACACTGGGAGATATGATTCATTTAAAGAAAGAGGTTTAGGAGCAGAGACATAGAATAATGACTCAAGCTGAGAAATGCAGTAAAGAATAAATTTTTCATTTATACTGTGCTGTCATCCCTAATAGAAGACTATAAGAAAGATAGACTCGGGAGTGATAAGCAAGAAAGATGCATGTTTTAACTTTTTATGTTTATAATAGAAATTTCTGAGAAGACACAAAGGCCCTGACGACCATTGGATAGGCCTTAGCAGAGAATCGCCAAGTCACTCTTGGAAATGGACAAATTCTTCTGAAGGCAACATTGTGTATGTATTGCCACTTATTTTCCTTTTGCTTTAATGACTTACGGTGTTTATAAGACAATAACTTTAATTTAGAAAACCTAAGGTACTGTGCAAGAGATAGAAATTGTTTCTATGCCTTTCCATTTACTAGCCAGCTCCTTGAAAACGTGATTTATTTTTATTTCAGTTGAAATAGTTAATATGATAAGACATAGGTATATGTTCTTGTACTTTAATACCACGAATCAGATGTTTTTCTGATGAAATATTGACTTAGAAGGCAGAAAGAACTCCTGGTATACAGTGGGAAAGGAATGGGAGGAGTGTTCTAACGTCCCAGAACGTCACTCATGGAGTGAACGTCCTATAAAACCTTTAAAAATCCATTTTCAAAGCAACGCAGAAGCCCACTAACCTTACTTATTGAAGATGCTAGCCCAGAAGACCCCAACAATAATGAAGTGCTATACAACCTCTCTGACAAAGAATTTAGAAGGGCGCTTCAGAGGATGCTTAGGGAGCTAAATGAAAAAATAGAAAGCAATGCCAATAAAAGACAAGAAGGTAGAAATTAGTAAAATGCAAACAAAATTACAAATGGATTTGTCGGACCTGAAAAACCTGATAGGTGAATTGAAAAACTCAGTGGAAGGCCTCAGCAGCAGAGTAACAGCTGCTTAGGAGAGAATCAGTGAGCTCGAAGTTGAAGTCCAGAGACTCTCCAGAAAAGAGCAGAAAATGGGAAAGAGACTCCCAATCCCGAAACCAGATGGCATGAGAAGATCCTGATGAAGCCAAGAGGAGTAACATAAGAATTATTTGAGTCTCAGAGGGACAGAAAGAAAACCCTGATGGAGAAGAAACTGTCAAAGACATCATTGCTACGACATTTCCAGAGCTGAATAAAACATGTGACCACATTGAGGAGTCCTGAAGGGTACCAGCTAGAAGAAATTTGAATAAAAATACCCCAAGACACATCCTGATCAAAATGACCAAAACTGTAAATAGAGAAAAAATTCTGAAAGAAGCAAGATCAAAGAAAGATATTTCCTATAAATGAGCATCCTTCAGATTCACAGCTAATTTGTCTGATGAAACCCTCATGGCCCAAAAACAGTGGTGGGATATAGTGAAAAAACTCAATGAAATAAATGCCTCACCAAAAAATACTTTACCCGGCAAGAGTCTCATTCATAACAAGAAGTAATAGCACACAGTTTCACAGACAAACAACAGTTCAGGAACTTCATAGACTCAAAACCATGGTTACAAGAACAACTAAATAGGCTACTTTAAGACAAGACAGGCCCCTCAAGTAGGCCAAATTTCAATAGAAAAATGGGACAAAGCCCCATAACAATAATCTCTCTCAATGTCAATGGGTTAAATGCACCAATTAAAAGACACAGAGTGTCAGGATGGATTAGAAAATTGAACCCAACACTGCTGCCTGCAAGAAACGCATCTCAATAGTTAGAGCAAGCACAGGCTCAAAGTCAAAGGCTGAAAAACACTCTGACAGGCAAACAACTCCCATAAAAAAAGCTGGGGTAGCGTCCCAGTATCAGGCCACATTGATTTCAGACTGAAGAAGGTCACAAGAGACCCTGAAGGCCATTTCTTATTGATCAAGCGATCTGTACAAAAGGAAGAACTTACAATACAAAATGTATATGCACCTAATCAGAGACCAGCAAAGTACTTAAAACAACTACTCATAGACTTGAAAGAAGACATTGATAGAAACACAATACTAGTGGGAGACTTCAACACCACTTTATCACCTCTTAATATATCAACCAGACTCAAGCTTAGCAACAACATACTTCATCTGAGGGAAAAAATGGAAGAAAGGGACTTAGAAAATATATACAGGACATTTCATCCTCAAAAAGCTTACACATTCTTCTCAAGTATGCATGTAACATTCTCCAAGATAGACCACATGCTGAGCCACAACACATACCTCCATAAAATTAAGAAGATAGAGATTGTATCAGCAATCTTCTCAGACCACAATACAGTGAATTTAGAAGTAAATCACACACACAAATAGAAAACTAAATCAAACACCTGTAAATTAAACAGCTTACTATTGGTCAACAAGTGGCTTAGAAAGGAAATCAAAAAGGAAATCAAAAGATTCCTGGAAATGAATGAAAATGAGGACACGAGTTTCCAAAACTTATGGGACACAGCAAAAGCTTTGTTAAGAGGAAATTTTATAGCTCTACAAGCATTCCTCAGGAAGGAGGAGCAAGCCCACATAAGCAACCTAACCTCATAGTTTAAGAGGTTGGAGAATGACCAACAAAATGAGCCCACTTCAAACAGGAGGAAGGAAATAATAAAACTCTGAGCAGATTAATGAGATGGAAACCCCAAAAAAGAATTCGAAAGATCAATGAAACAAAGAGCTGGTTCTTCGAGAAAATAAACAAGATCGATAAGCCTCTAGCAAGACTCACAAAAGAAAGGGAGAGAGAAAAACCCTAATAAACTGAATTAGAAATGAAAAGGGGATCATTACAACAGAAACTACAGAAATTCAAAGGATCCTCAGGGAGTACTTTGAGAAGCTTTATGCCACAGAACACAAAAACCTCGAGGAAATTGATAAATTCCTAGATTCCTATAGCCTCTCAAGGCTAAACCAAGAAGACTTGGAATACTTGAACAGACCTATCACCATCAAGGAAATTTAAATGGTAATAAAAATCTTCCCAAGCACAAAAGTCTTGGTCCAGATGGATTCACTAGTGAATTCTTCCAAATATTTACAGAGGACTTACTCCCAATCCTATTTAAGCTTTTCTACAAAATTGAAGTATCAAAAACACTTCTGAACAGTTTCTATGAAGCAATTATCACCCTGATACCAAAAGTAGACAGAGATACCACAAAGAAACAGAATTACAGGCTGATATCCCTGATGAACGCAAAGATCTTCAACAAGCTATTAGCAAATAGAATCCAATGACTCATCTAAAAGATCAAACACTATGACCAAGTAGAATTCATCCCAGGGATGCAAGGATGGTTTAACATTCAGAAATTCATCAACATAATCCATCATATCAACAAAAGAAAAGATAAAAACCATATGATCATATCAATAGATGCAGAGAAAGCATTTGACAAGATTCAGAACCTGTTTATGATGAAAACTCTCAGCAAAATAGTTATTGAAGGAACTTTCCTCAATATAGTCAAAGCTAACTACCACAAGCCCACGGCAAGTATCATTCTCAATGGGGAAAAACTAAAAGCCTTCCCTCTAAGATCAGGCACAAGACAAGTTTGCCCACTTTTGCCACTCCTATTAAATATAATACTGGAAGTCCTGGCCATTACAGTTGGGCAAGAGAGAGGTGTCAAGGGAATACAGATAGGAAAGGAAGAGGTCAAGCTATCACTATTTTAGAAAATAGGATACTATACTTAGAAAACCCTAAAGACTTTACAGAAAACCTTCTAGAAACAATAGGTCAGTTTAGTAAAGTGGCAGGCTATAAATTCAACACATAATCATCCATGGCTTTCTTATATACAAATAACGAAAGAGAAGAAATAGACATTAAAAAAATATCTCGTTCACAATAGTACCTCAGAAAATCAAGTACCTCAGAATCAGCTTAACCAAAGAAAGAGGTGAAGGATCTGTATAAGGAAAATTACAAAACACTACTTCAAGAAATAAAAGCGGACACTAGGAAATGGAGACACACACCCTACTCATGAATAGGGAGGATTAACATTATCAAAATGGCAATAATGCCCAAAGCACTATATAAATTCAATGTGGTTCTTATCAGGATACCCATGACATTTTTCAAAGAAATAGACAAAACACTCCTGAAATTCATATGTAACAATAAACCCCCACGAATAGCTAAAACAATCCTTGGGAAAAGAAGATTGGTGGCATCACCCTCCCCAACTTCAAACTGTACTACAAAGCAGTAGTAATTAAGAAAGCATGGTACTGGGCTAGAAACAGACCTGCAGACCAATGGAACAGAGTTGAATATTCCGTCACAGACCCCCAAATATATGACCATTTAATCTTTGACAAAGGAGCAAGAAATATGAAGTGGAACAAGGAACGCCTCTTTAACAAGTGGTGCTGGGAAAACTGGATAGCTACCTGCAAAAAAATGAACTCTGACCTCTGTCTAATGCCAGGCAAAAAAGTCAGATCAAAGTGGATTAAAGACCTCAATATCAGACATGAATCCATAAGGTACATAGAGGAAAATGTCGGCAGAACTCTCCATGACATTGAAGCTAAAAGCATCTTTAAGGATGAAACAGCACTGACCATGCAAGTGGAAGCAAACATAAACAATAGGACTTCATCAAACTAAGAAGTTTCTGTACTTCAAAAGAAACAGTTGCCAAAATACAGAAAGAGCCCACAGAATGGGAAAGAATATTTACCCAATACCCATCTGATAAGGCATTAATACCCAGGATATACAAGACCCTAGTAGAATTATACAAGAAAAAAAACTCTAACCCCATCGAAAAATGGGGAGAAGAAATAAAAAGAAGTTTTCTCAAACAAGAAATACAAATAAATGGCCAAAAGGCACATGAAAAATGCTCCTCATTGCTAGCTGTCAGGGAGATACAAATCAAAACAACAGTGAGATATCATCTCACACCACAGAGACTGGCACACATTCAAAAGAACAAAAGCAACCAGTGCTGGAGTGGATGTTGGGAAAAAAAGACACTCTTTCATTGTTGGTGGGAATACCCACTAGTCCAGCCTTTCTTGAAAACAATATGGACAGTCCTTCAAAAACTAGAAATTAAGCTTCCATATGACCCTGCAATACCACACCTGGGAATAAATACCGAGAATGCAACAAAGCACAGTAGAAATGACACTGTACCTATATGTTCATTGCAGCACTGTTCACAATAGCCCAAATCTGAAAACAACCCAAGTGCCCTAGAACAGATGATTGGTTAAAGAAACTTTAGTACATCTACATGATGGAATACTATGCAGCTGTCAGGAGAGATGAAGTCATGAACTTTGCTTATAAATGGATAGACATGGAGAGTATCATGCTAAGTGAAATGAGTCAGAAAGAGGGACAGACATAGAAGAACTGTACTCATTTGTGGAGTATAAAACAACATAACATGAGGCTGACACAGAAGGGTAGTAGATACACGGGACAGATAGATTGCCTTATGAGCAAAGGGGAGAAGGCAGCTAGAATAGAGAAGGGATCACTAAGAAAATGATGGCTTGAGGAACCGGTAAGAATTGGAGATGTGTGCAGAAAGTAGAAAAAGGATCAAACATCATGACCTCTCAGTGTTTGTATTACAAACCATAATTCCGAAAATAGAGAGGGATTTTAGGGAATAATGTCTGCCATGGAGGTGGGGGGAGGGTGGGAAAGAGGAGGTATACTGAGGATATTGGTGGTGGGGAATGTGCACTGGTGGAGGGATAGGTGTTTGATCATTGTGTGATTGTAACCCAAATATGAAAGCTTGTAACTATCTCACAGTTATTCAATAAAATTTTTTAAAAAATAAAAAAAAACACAATATTAATTATTATATGCCAGACACAGTAACAACAAAGTCTCCAATGGAGACGTTACTGGGCCCGCTCGAGCAAATCGACGATCAACGGGAGGGCCTTTACCTTACCTTTACCTTAATTATTAAAAATATTCTGTTTTCCAGCTGCTTCATTCATTCACAAAAGAAAGGAATGTTTCAAAGAGAAGCTGTGGAAATCTCTCTGAGAGATTTACCAACAGAAACAGTAGTTCCCTGTGTTGTGGACAGTTCAATGAGGTCATTGGAAAGCCATCAAATATAAGGACCTGATCACTTTCATCATCAAAATAGAGCTCTTTATCACAATGTTAATATGTATTTTTTTCATGAACTTATTAAGCAGTTCATGAGAGGACTGAGAATGATTTCACTGATACAACTTATGGCAAAATACGTAAAGTGACTAGATCAACAATATAACTAGACTTGGATTGGATGAATGATTATAGTTGGTGATGTTCAAGCATGTGTCTTGAATTTCTAAAAAGAACTAAATATAAAAATAGTGTTCATTAATAAGAAGTCACATAAGTGACAGATTTTAATTTTCTTTTTATTTCTATTGAAAAAAGTGGACTAGAGGTATTATAGATGACATGGAGGAATAACTGCAAGATGTTCAGCATATGAATAATTATGTTGTTTTGTATTGTTTTAGGTTTAAGGTCAGTGGAACTGGGAAACATGCCTTCTTGAATGACAAAGGCGTGAGCAGTGGCAGGATTTACTCAGAGAGAAAATGGATTTGCAGCAAGTTCACTGTCTCCACTTGTCAAATTGCTTCAAACTCATGAGCAGAAAAACTGCATTGTGCTTGTTATCTACAGTTGCTGAATGTTTTTCTCAAAGTGTTGACCTAAAAATGTGTAATATCAGATGACAGCAAAGATGAAAACTGAGTCACCATGGGGAGTTTGCCAGACTCTGCCGCGTGGGTAGGTTACATTCCGTAGCCTGCCAGGTTGTCCAAACTAAGAATGAGATAATAAGATGTCTCTAGGGACTAGTGATTGCTTAATGGTGGGGTGTGTAAACACATAAAAAACAGATGGGCAAGGGAGACAGCAGCGGCTTATCTCTCCCGCCACCCGCGTTCGGTGGTCTCAGGCCGTTTCCCCACTCCAGGGAGGTCAATGGCAATGGTCAGGCGGAGGAAGGAAACGAGGCCAAGCTGGTTGGTCTTAGCAGCAGTTTATTACATGCAAGAAATGTATGTCATGGAGGCCTCAGGAGTCCTCAAGCACCTGCACCCTGAGAGAGCACCCCGAAAATACTCAGCATTGTCTCACATCTGAACAAACTTGAAGAATAACACATCATAAATGATTTGGTACCGATACTAAAGACATACAGTGATTCACACAGGTTAATATATTTTGTTGAAAACATGTATTATAGCCAATAATGAGTATAAGGGCTAATTCAGAACAAGAAGTTCTTTCTTTAGGGAAAACAATCACTTCACTTCACTTAACTTCCCTTTAGTCGTCGATTTGCTTGAGCGGGCGCCAGTTACGTCTCCATTTGTCCCTGTCGCGTGCTAATGTAGCCCAATGGCATCTGTTCACTCCGGGAACATGAAGGGCCTCAAACCGATCGTTCATGATCTTGACGAAGAAGTCTGACCATCTGGTAGGTGGGCGGCCACGCGGTCTTTCGACATCCCGTCGGTAACAGCTCTAGTCCAGCGGTCATCTTTAAATCTCATTACGTGACCAGCGAATCTGATTTTCAACACCTTGGCAAATGAGACAGCGTTCCTGATTCTTGATAGTCTTGATAGTCGACGGATGTCAGAACTCCGGATTCTTTCTCTCATTTAAGTGAAACGTGATATTTCAAGCATAGCTCTTTCTATTCTTCTTTGGGAGACCTGAATGGCGTTCTCATCTTGTTTGCGTAGGGCCCAGGTCTCTGATGCATATGTTAATGCAGGAAGAACAGTGGAATCAAAGAGATGTGCCCGGAACCGGAGGTTCATCGGCCTCTTAGCTATTTCTTCGATGTTCTTGAAGGCGTTCCAAGCCTCTCTCTTCCTCCTGCGCAGATCGGGTGCCAGGTCGTTTGTCACGTTGACTTCTCGACCTAGGTACACATAGCTGTTGCATTCGGAGATGGTCATTCCGTTGAGAGCGAACGGGGCATCAGGAACGAGGCTGTTTCTCATAAACATTGTCTTCGTAAGATTCAGCTGTAGTCCTACCTTTCCACACTCACGGTCAAAGTCAGCCAGCATTTGGGCCGCTTGGCTGATGTTTGGTGTTATTACACTATTTCCACTACCCAGCCGTCGCTACAATCCAGGACGCTTTCCAGACCTGCGTGGCAGCTCCGGCCGAGACTCACACACGACTGAAGACCCACAGAACAAGATAAGCGGAACTCTCTGAGACCTTGGACTCCAGGCTCGGCAGACCCAGGGACAGAGCTTCTCTGCTTGCTCCCACCACCACCACAGGTGACAAAGGGATTCTAATCAGGAGCCCCACCCTACCCTGCCCTGTCTGCTTCCATCAACCACCCAGGGATCGAATTGCACACAGGAGACACACCCTACCCAGATAAATACCCCACTGGCAGACTTCCACTATGGACACTACTTCCACTACCCAGCCGTCACCACACTCCAGGACGCTTTCCGGACCCATGCGGCCGCTTTGCAGCCACGCAACACATCATAAGACACTAAATACCCATCTTCCAGAATTGTCATACCGTATTTGATGGTTCAAATATGGTAACACCTACAAGGATGATTAGAGGTCTCCCCAAAAGCCTTTATCCCTCTCGGAAAGACTGGCAAGCTACCAAGAGTATTCCGCCTGCACGGAAGAGCCTGGCAAGCTATCCGTTGTGTATTCGATATGCCAAAACCAGTAACTACAACTGGTCTCATTCACCTGACCCTGAAGGCTTCACCGACATGGCATGAGAAGAATGAGAAAGGAGAGGCCGACAAAATCTCAAGGCCGACCTAGGCTCCCACAATGAAGGAAGACAAAAATGATCGTCTGTACTTTCAATGCATGTACACTAGCATCAGATGCATCCATCGAGGACCTGATGGTACAGGCGCGAATGATCAAGTACAACAGCATTGGTCTGACCGAGACAAGAAGGCACGAATCTCACCATGCCATTCCCGACACTGGAGAAGAATTGTTCCTCGGAACATGTGATAAAAGAGGTGTTGGAGGCGTCGGTGTCCTTTTCAACACAAACTTGGCCAAGAGCATTGATTCATTCGAACGCCTAACAACCCGAATCGGATGTTTACATTTGAATAGATGTGACACACTGCCTGCAGTTTCTATCTTCGTTGTCTATGCAGCAACATCTCATTATGATGAAAGAGAAATCGAGAAGTTCTACATGGAGCTAGAGAAGTTCTATAAAGAAGACCACACCTTCTACAAGATCATTGTGGGTGATTTTAATGCCAAGACAGGACCGAGAAGATCAGCTGAAGAACTTCACATTGGGACCCATGGCCTAGAATGGAACGAACAGGGTGAGAGACTGTCTGAGTTCATCATGTCGACCAAGACCATTCATGGACACTTAATCACTTAATCACTTAACTTCCCGTTAGTCATCGATTTGCTCGAGCGGGCGCCAGTAACGTCTCCATTTGTCCCTGTCGCGTGCTAGTGTAGCCCAATGGCATCTCTTCGCTCCGGGAACATGGAGGGCCTCAAACCGATCGTTCATGATCTTGACAAAGAAGTCTGACCATCTGGTAGGTGGGCGGCCACGCGGTCTCTTGACATCCCGTGGAATCCAATCAGTAACAGCTCTAGTCCAACGGTCGTCTTTAAATCTCATTACGTGACCAGCCCATCTGATTTTCGACACCTTGGCATATGAGACAGCGTCCCTGATCCTTGATCGTCGACGGATGTCAGAACTCCGGATTCGTTCTCTCATTTGAGTGAAACGTGATATTCCAAGCATAGCTCTTTCTATTCTTCTTTGGGAGACCTGAATGGCGTTCTCATCTTGTTTGCGTAGGGCCCAGGTCTCTGAGGCATATGTTAATGCAGGAAGAACAGTGGAATCAAAGAGATGTGCCCGGAGCCGGAGGTTCTTCATCCTCTTAGCTATTTCTTCGACGTTCTTGAAGGCATTCCAAGCCGCTCTCTTCCTCCTGCGCAGCTAGGGTGCCAGGTCGTTTGTCATGTTGACCTCTCGACCTAGGTACACATAGCTGTTGCATTCGGAGATGGTCGTTCCGTTGAGAGTGAATGGGGCGTCAGGAACAAGGCTGTTTCTCATAAACATTGTCTTCGTAAGATTCAGCTGTAGTCCTACCTTTCCACACTCACGGTCAAAGTCAGCCAGCATTTGTGCTGCTTGGCTGATGTTTGGTGTTATTAAAACAATGTCATCAGCAAAGCGGAGGTGGTGTAGTTGCCGACCATCTATCTTCACTCCCATTCCTTCCCATTCCAGTCGTCGCATGATGTTCTCGAGGGTGGCACTGAAGAGTTTCGGTGAAATGGTATCACCCTGCTGCACCCCTCTCTTGACATCAACGATCACTTCTTTGTAGAATGGTGAGATCCTGGTAGTGAATCCGCAATACAGCTCACGGAGGATCCTGATGTATTGGGCTTGAATGCCCTGATTGGCTAGGGCTTCAATGACCACTTCCGTCTCAACAGAATCAAAGGCCTTCTTTAAATCAATGAAAGTTAAGCAGAGCGGCATCTTGAACTCCCGTGAAACCTCAATGAGCTTGGTTATTGTGTGGATATGGTCGATGGTGCTGAATCCTTTGTGGAACCCTGCTTGCTCGCATGGTTGTCCTTCATCTAGTGTTCTGCCAATCCTATTCAGGATGACTCGAGTGAACAACTTGTAGATGACAGACAATAGGCAGATCGGGCGATAGTGGCCAATGTCATGGATGTCTCCCTTCTTGAACAGTAGTACAGTCCTGCTGGTTTTCCATTGAGACGGAACCTTGCATTCAGACAGGTAGCGAGTGAAGAGCCGAGCCAGTGTATTGATGAGTACTGACGGCAGGTTCTTCAGGTGTTCAGGTCTGACCTTGTCTGGGCCGGGTGCTGTTTGCTTCTTTACCGACGAAATGGCGTGTCGGATTTCGGAAGGGAGAACGTTGGGAACGACATACCCATCCTGTGGAATTTGGTATGTCGGCAAGTGGACATGGCTGTCGAAGAGATTTGAGTAGAAGTCATGGATAATCTTTTCCATTGCCGTTCTGGAGGATGTGATGGATCCATCAGGACGTCGGAGGGCAGTCATCTTGGTCTTATAGTTGGCGAAGGACAGGCGGGCGTTACGAATACTTTTCCTGGCTTCTGCCGCATCTATTAGTACTTCTGCTCTTTTCTCTTTGAGGTCTTCCACTACTTCCACTACCCAGCCGTCGCCACATTCCAGGATGTTTTCCGGACCCGCGCGGCCGCAAGCGGCCGCACGACATATCATAAGACACTAAATACCCGTCTTCTGGAATTGTCGTACCATATTTGATAGGGTTCAAATATGGTAACACCTACAAGGGTGATTAGAGGTCACCCCAAAAGCCTCTATACCTCTCGGAAAGACTGGCAAGCTACCGAGAGTATTCCGCCCGCACGGAAGAGCCTGGCAAGCTATCCGCTGTGTATTCGATATGCCAAAACCAGTAACTACAACTGGTCTCATTTACCTGACCCTGAAGGCTTCACCGACATGGCAGCACTGAGAAGGATGAGAAAGGAGAGGCCGACAAAATCTCAAGGCCGACCTAGGCTGCCACAACAAAGGAAGACCATTCATGGTAACTCAGGGAAAACAATAGTTTCTGATAATGAATCATCATTAGTGTCCCC